TCTGACACCTGGACTGACACCTGGTCTGACACCTGTTCTGACACCTGGTCTGACACCTGTTCTGACACCTGGTCTGACACCTGTTCTGACACCTGGTCTCATACCTGGACTGACACCTGGTCTGACACCTGGTCTGACACCGGTTCTGACACCTGATCTGACATCTGGTCTGACACTTGGACTGACACCTGGTCTGACACCTGGTCTGACACCTGGTCTGACACCTGGACTGACACCCTGTCTGTCACCTGGACTGTCATCTGGACCTTTATGGATAAATCAAAAGACTGACTTGTTTAAAACATTTAACTTCTGAGTTCTTCCCACTGGATCTTTTTGTTGAAAACCTGTTTTTTTTTCTCTCTCTTACAATGTTTTTGTAAATCACAAAGTGGACCTTTGTGCGTACCGTGTTTCTGTCCGATCTCCAACAGAACTGGCTCTCCCAGCTCGATGGTGAAGGTCTTGTTCTTCTCATACTCTTCATCGTCAATAATTTTGACCTCGATGATCTTCCTGTGTAAAAAGAGAGAAAGACAAAGATAATCCACAAACCGAAACGATCCGCTCCGATTTAAGAAGTGGAAAGTTCAGAGTGATCGATTCAAAGTGGGAGAGTCGGCGGTTCTCATGAAATCTAAAAACTTTATACTATGCAAAGTCAAAGTACTAGTTAGTATGCATCAAAGAGTGAAGTGAGGATAATTTATTTAAAAAAAACATTAAAAGGCTTAAACTCAGGTTGACGTTTGAACACTGTTCATTCAGCTGTTCCTCTTCAGCAGCCGCCACATTGAGTCATCCTCTGTCCAACTCCCTCCATGTCCTCTCACAGTTCCATCTCTTCTACCAATGAACCCACTGTCCCTCCTCTGGACTCCTCACTTCCACCTAGATGTTTTATAGCACACTTCACTGTCAGCCATGCTGACTCTAATGCTCCAAATAAGCTTTGGTTGAACAGAAAAATAAAAAAAAAAAACTGTGAGAACGAGAGTTGGAAAAGAGCAGAGAGGAGAAAGGACCGTGGCTGAGAGTCGGAGGGGTAGAGAGGTGGAAACACATTGTTTTCATTGGTGAGCTGTCACAGCAGAGCCAAACAGAATCGTTGGGATTTACTATTTTCAGCCTCTGAAGACAACTCCGAACAGAGCTGGAAAAGAAAATCTGAAAATGTATTAAGTGAGAAGCTGCACAAAAATTTTTTTGAAATGCAAAGAGAAGGACAAAGAAAGACCAGAGTTTTTGTATTTWTTCTGTATTTACCGGTGATTTATTGAGTAATACTGAGTCATCTGAGAGTAGTTTTATCTAAACAAAAAATATACAGCCAAATTATTATTTTTCATTAAAGTAAATAAAAAGAACAAGGTCTGATTGGTTCATATTTTTAGTTAGACTTTCCACATGTCATAGAAAMGCAAGGTTGTAGTAATTACTGTCGTTTCGGTAGCCTTTCCAACTAAAAGCACCGTAGCAAACAGTAAGAGGATTAGATTCAAACTCTGGGTTTATTTCTGAACATTTGCTGCAAACATCAGCATGAAGCCGTTTCGCTTAAAGTTATTTTAAAAACAAGAAAAGTCAACTATTCCCGGCCACAGAAACGAGAAAAACGTGACCACGTGTGAAGGTTTCTGACTTTATAATGTAAACCTGAATTATATGTAAGCCTCTTGTTTTATGATCAAATGTCTTCAAGTGTCGTAGAGTRTAAACAAAATGACTGAAGTGTTGGAGGAGGCAGATGGACAGATTGGAGGAGGTCTTTTGTCTTCAGTTGGGGTAAAAACAGCAGCAGCGAACGGCACTTGCGACGCATTCAATTTATGGGAACCACAGTTTTATTGTGGTTGAAAAGCCTTAACAAAGAGAATATTAACTTTACTGTGGTGGTTCCTGGCAGTTGTAAACTTTATGTCTCTCTAGCATCTATTCTCTCAGCCAGAAGTAGCKCAATGAATACACTTTAAACACACTTTATATGGTGAAGTGTTTTATACTTCATACAAATAATAATTTAAACAAAGACCGTTGTACACAAGTGATGATCGGACAATTAAGCAAGCYTGAGTCAGGTCTTCTGGAYGGGTTCTTTGTTGAAACGTTTCGTTTTGTACCCTAAAGACTTCTTCASTCTGAGAAGTTGCTGGTAAACTCAGCCTATACCTTCACATAGTGGATCAACCAGTTTGTTGGTGACACCTAGAACCGGTTGTTCACGTGCAAAAAGAGGACCATTGACTGACGACCGATTAATGATGCCCCAATGGTCCAACACTTGAAATATTGTTAATTCAGTTCACCAACTTTGGCAAAGTGAACACAGATCACTTTAATGTTTCTTTGCTGGGAAATCCCTTCATATAATGTTTGGCATCACTGAAGAGGCAGGGTTAGAATTCCCAACGAGATCACGCCAGACCAACGAAAACTGAATAARCCAATCAACAAATTTCAACAAACAACATACCATTTTAAAGCTAAAGACACAAAATTGGAAAAATAATAACTTAATATTATAAAAAATTCATCATTGTKGCTTATATTTCCAGCATAAGTGACATATTTTAGTGTAAGCTTGATGAAAACCAGATTTAATTGCAGAATGGGAGGTACCACATACGGCTCTGGTATAAATAACGGTCACAACATCTGGTCTGATATTAATATTCTTCTTTTATASACAAACCTTACTTCCCTTTATCTTCACCTGTCCTCCTGCCTTATATTCTTTCCATTTCTACAAAACCTGGTTACATTTTGACATCTGCTCCCTGGAAAGTTTCTCTGTCAGGAGCTTCGACGCTCCGGCCTGTCAACGCGCAGAAACGAAACACTCAGACGCCGCACCCGGTTCACCGAACACAGGAAATCCACTGACAAAAATAGGGAACGAAACAATGGGTAAAGGTAAAATTTAATTTAAAAGTTCCAAACAGAACCTTTAAATTGATTTGATAGATAAGTTTTGGGTCCTGGCAGCTCAAACGGGCCTCAGTTTGATTTTATTAGTTTATCACATTACTTAATGGCCAGAACCTCTCTGCAGATCTTTGTCTCCATCTCTTCTCGTTCTCCTCCTGGCTCCAGGTCGGCTTTTTGATTTGCGGCCGTTGGACGGGGCTGCTGTGTTTGTTTGGCACTGGGAAACGAAGCCATTTGTTTTTCAGTCRGAGCGTCTCGGAGAGCTGCAGGACCTCACGAGTCATTTTCCTGAGTGAGTTTGATTTATGGACACGCATCACTTTGTGCASGTTCTCCTGTTCGTGGAAACTGGGCCATAAAATTATACTTTAAAGTGCAAAACCTTGCCTTTAGAAAACTTAGACGGGGAAAACAGAAAGGCCTATAATTCAACGTCAGGTGGCTGAAGAACAATACATGATGAATATTAGCCATAATAAAAACTTTATCAAATATTTTTAGATTAAAATTTATTATTAACAGAAGCACAGTTTCTACTGGCACCCTGTTGGTAAACAGGCTATAATATACCCCAAGTCTGGACTGCATCAGGAGTTAAAAGGTTCTAGACCAGAGTATACCCTGGTTATATCCTGGGCATTCTCTGGTCTAAACCAATTTATACCACTCAGGACAAAATGATTATATCTTTACACTGGTCAGGAGGGGCATATTCTGGCTTAGGCAATTTAACGTTGGACTAGGACAGTTGATCACTTGGGGTATAATATGGCCTAGGCCAATTTATACCACTCAGATCAGAACAAACCCTCAAGATATCAGTAATGTTAAGTCACATACTCAAAAATTACTTGGTTAGGGTTATGAGGGTTACTCTGACTTAAATCTTAGAACTCTAAACATTTGTTATGAGGTCAATKCATACCCCTAGGCTGGATTATGGGTATATATAGAAATATAGATGGGTATATACTGTCAAGGAGGGGTATAATCTGCCCTAGACTATTTTACKTTTGATTAGTAAAGTTTATCCTCTGTATGCTCGGGCCAAATTATACCCAGGTTTAATCTGGGTAGGGATTAATTTGTACTGCTACACTGAGGTTCAGCCAATACGGTGTGGTGTCGTTTGGACAAACTTGTGTTTTTTTTTTTGTTTTTTTTTTTTGGTCAAATTTGTTTTACACCACATTTTAGCCCTCCCTATTTGTCCAGGTTTTGGTCCAGCATGAGCGATACGCTAGCTGGGCTGCGCTCCCTAGTGGTTGATGTCTTGTTTTTAAGTCGTTTGTGGGAATTCTACCTACAGTTTTGTCTTTGCTATACAGTGGATTTTAACAACAATCACTTTGCCTGGTTTAAACTCTCTTAGATCAGTGCTGAAACTGCCAACAGCCCCCCAAAAAGTTGGTTTGCATATCTGCTGAAACAGAYGGGTAGGAAAAATTAAATCTCTTCCAAACTCACAGAGTGTGCCAAAGCACACCTGACGCCAATCTAGCACTGAAAGTTCAACAGTTATTCTGCTACTCTGCTCCCCCCCCCCTCAAGAGTGCAGAGTCAGTCATTTTCCGAGTTAGTCTGAACTTTTCCAAACGTCTGTCTGAACTGAAGCAAGTAGTTGTTTGTCACATGGCTCTTCTCATCCGAGCAGAGAGCAACACAAACACCACAGCTGGAGGGAGGCCAATGCAGAGCAAGCGGGATAAAAAGCTCTTATGAGGAYACATATTCCCTCTCTTAATGATATTATGGAGCTCATAATGAGAGTGCACAACACACACACACATTTTGTCACCCACATACACACTCCTGCTAAGTGGTCTCCAGCTGTGGAGCGTAATAAAAGGTGCACCACCGATGTGCGTGGGAGGACGGAGRTGGATGGTCGGGGAGATGATTTGAGGACGAGGAGGGGCAATGRAGGAAACATGCAAACGCGAGAGGTTTGGAAGCGATGAAAGAGGAAGAAACAGACGTTGACAGAAGAGCAGACATGAAAAATGTAGTTTCCACTGCCTCTCAAATGGGAAATGATCAAGAAACAAGTAAAATGTGACTCCGCTGCATTCTTTCTGGCCTGGAACAACTTGGGATCCTCCAGGAGGAGCTGGAGAGATGGGTTCTCTTAAAATACGTCCATAATKTAACATGATCACTTGGTTCACCGTAATCCAGAGGAACAAGTTTTAAYCTGTGYTCTACTGACACGATGCATYCTGGGAATCACGAGGATGGTRRAATGATAAATGGACTGAACTTATATAGCACTTTATCAAGTCCCTCCGGACCCMAAAGCGCTTTACACTTACAGACATTCACCCATGTTTGTTCTTCAACCCTGTGGGGACYGTGCATTGACTTCCAATCATTTTTTTAGACTTTATAGCCTAACCCTGACCATTTACCCTAAAATTAACCTGTGAGGCCTCACTGACAGAAGGCTGCCATGCACCAGAACCACCGGACCCTCTGACCATCAGTAGGAAAGGTGGGTGAAGTATCTTACCCAAGGACACAATGACTGAGACGGCTGGAATGGGGGATCGAACCAGTGACCTTCCGGTTAAAGGACGACTCCCCTAACC